GAGATGGAACGTCTAAGTCGCCGTTTGTTTCCACTTGGGGAACTGATCGATGGCGGTGGCGAAGTTTGGCGCCGGTCGATTGAAAATGTTTCTGAAGTGATTGGCTCAGTGCTTCGGAATCGGCGATTCCTCTATCAGAAACGTTGTTATCTCGGAGCTGAGAAGCAGCTCGATCACGTTGCTGGGGATGCCATAGACGTCCTTGATGGAGACGAAGACCTTCTTCATACCCTTGAATTTTCTCGATCTTACAATACATCCAGGCATCCTGCATCTCCCGCAACCATTTCTGCACCGAGCGGCGTTCGTCCGACGGTCGATGTAGGCTTTGTGCAGTCTGTGCTTATTGCCAAGTAGGCTGCAGATTTTTTCATCGTCAAAGTCATCGGACCAGTCCTCGTGTCGACGACGGCAGCGACCGAGGACGTCCAGGGCGGCGGAACGTATGGCATCCCGCAGTTGGCGCCATCATATCTCCATGGTGGCGTTGTCGTCCCGAGTCTGCATTTCTTCTAGACACTTAGCCAACTGGTTGCTGAAATCTGACCGGAAAACGAACAAATTCAACAGAGGACTATTTAGCTTACCTTGTGGTCTCCTGCGGGGTAGCAAGCACAGCATGGTCTTGCAGATGACGAGGCCGTGATCCGTCAACCCATCGTCGTCGTAGATCGGTTTTTTCAACAGAACTTCCCGCCGACCTCGTCTTTCGATGAGAACGTAGTTCAGCAGTTGCCCGCGCCGCGCTCGGGGGTGCATCTAGGCTAGCTTCTCCCCTGTCAGGAAGCAGAAGAAGATATTGGTCAGCCGAAGGCGATGTTCCGCGCAGGTTTGCAGAAGAAGGAGCCCGTTATCGCTGCAGTCGCCGAGTCCACGGGGACCCAGCACTCCCTCCAAGACTGCGTGATCTGTCCCAACGCTGACATTAAATTCACCAAGGGCGTCCAGCTTGTCCGCCTTCGGCACAGTCATTAGGAGGGCCTGCAGGTCTTCGTAGAACTTGTTCCTCACCTTGTCAGAGCTGATCATTTGAGCGAGGGTGTGGCATAGGCGCTGACAACGTCGCCGAGTTGGGTTCATCGAAGGGACAGGTGCAGGGTAATGAGACGATCGTTAATTCCCTGCGGTAGACAGAGGGGTCGTCACACGATGTCGTTCCGGCATCACGGTGCTCTGCCTTTAGGCAGTCGCCCCAGAATAGGGAGTAGCCGGTACCCACTTCCTCCAGCTGCCGTGTTCGGAGAGTGGGATCTAGCTGAGAGGGACGATGTTCACCTTGCAGCGTGCCAGCCCTCGAGTGAGTAATGGCATCCTCCTTTGCAGCCGCGTGCTCCTTGGAGGGTCTAAAAGATAACGATCGTACCAGGCTGCCGGAGTGAACTGACTCACCCTAGTAGTCTGTGGGTTGGGATGGAGGGAGATGGGGATTAGAGGAGGGAATTATTGTTTATCGTTTGCTTGTCTTGACCGCGAGTTTCACATCTACGAGCCACAGTATGTAGGTGGCATGATTTCCCAAAATTCGTTTCGAGCACCTTTTCCAGTCCCCTCCCCTTCCTTCTCAGACGACTGTCGAACGTCACCATGGGCCATGGCTTTGTTCGTTTTAGAGCAACTCAGGTTAGTTTGATCTACCTACGGGATCGCATGTTGCCCTCTCCATAGGACTTTTTGAAGTGGAAGGGAGGGGAAGCAGAATTACCTGGACTGGGCACACACGCACACAACACCGGATACCCTTACTTGATTTAGTCCGCCGGTCGAGGTGGTTAATGGGGCACGGGTGCTAGGCCGAGCCTTGCTACGGGGAGCCAGAGGTAAGAGTTGAGTGCCAACCTAGGGGGCGTACGAAGCAGCCACAACCTGAACCAGATACGTGGTTCGACCTATTACATTTGCACGGCTTGCCCCTAACTAAATACAGGGCGCTATCTCACCAGTTTATCTAGATGACTGATGCCGCAGCGTAGAGGCGGATTCATAGGATAACACTCTGCCGATTAACTGTGTGCCCTCGGTCACGACGAACCTAGAATCAATTCGCGTCCTTTCCCAACTCGATTGTTGGGTCTCACCCTCTCACCTTCACTTTCTGCGTTCGGAAGAGTTAACACCGCACCAACCACTTAAACTACCAGTACTTTGGAGGCCGAAGCTTTTTTGGACTTCTGGCGAGTGACTAGTACTTTTTACTCTGGGCAGGCACGGTGGAATCATTTATCTTCCTCGCCTGACCTTATGTTTAGCGCGGAAAGCTTCTTTACTCCGTGAGGTTGGCCGACAAGGAAAGTGCGTTTAGTGCACCCAGCCATTACTGCGCTGGTAGTGCTGGTAGCTGAGTAGTCATCATCTGCGTACGGGGAAGGGAAAGGTAGGTGGGCGCAGCAAATGCGAATTTCCTTCAAAGAACCAAGAAAGAGTCATCCCCTGAAACGGATGAAAATGCCCTCCGCACGTAAATCAAACTACCCTCTTATTAGGCTTCAGACTCGCAGATCAACAGTCCGAGTCATCGAATTTCTTTTTTTTATGATGTTTTTGGGTAGAGAAGACGCGAGCAGCGCTACGTCAATGACACAGACGGGGGGGGGAGTATTCGCATGACCGACTGAGGAGCATAAACACCTCTACACAGGCCTACGACCGTCAGAAAAATAAGCACTAAGGCATAAACAAAAATTCAGGACACCGGAGCTATACACGAAAGCTGGACCAAAACAGCTATGATGTGGTCTGGTGTGATGGAGAGAGATAACTTCGCATGACTTTCTGCCCCTACGAACGCATGAAAGTGCGCAGTAGGAATTATTTTGCGAGGACTTCCCACTTTCTACTGTTGTACCCCTGTAAATGCCTCTTGGAAGCCTTGCCAGATGCATCGCTGCAGCGTCTCGAAACTGATTTGCCTGAGGACATGACAGGGTGTGAGGGTAGCCGGTAAATTCCACCAAAACCTGTGCGTATGTGGGCAAAAAAATGTGTGGTTATGATAGAGAGCGAGAGAGAGATTGCACTTTTGTTTTCAAATGACGAAATTTTTAGCCGAGAAACCTCAAATATGGTGGTTCAACGTAGGCACAAGGTACAGCTTCCATTAATATTAAATTGGGCAAATATTGCGAGTAACCCATTTTCCTCGGGGCTGTGGCCGTTAAACGTCGGCTTTAGTTGAGGAAAAGTAGATGCGATCGCTGGAACAGGATCTTTATTCGCCTGACGTTCCGGATTCATGCTCGGACGCATCATCAGAGGCATCATCAGGTACGAGCAATTCATGCACAGGGGTTTGCAGTACTTATAGGATGCAGTCGCTATACTACTGCATGCCTATAAAGACTAACCGCTCCCCCACCCCACCCCCCCCCCCACTTCATCGAGGACGGGTTACCGTCGATGCTATGGCAGTTCGACCGTCGATTCCGACGATGTCCACTGTGTGCTACACACAAAGGTGCACCAGGCGCGGTGACTTGTGCGTGAATTAATTTATAGTGGTAGTAGACTTGCGCTGAATCTACCACACTCTCTCTTCCTCACTCCTCACCTGGACCCGGTGTCAAAACAAATTCAAGAAGACCGGGAGCAGGGGGGAGGGTGTAGGTGGCTGTCACGTCCGGACCTGCACCTAGGCGTGCCATCACACCCCCTGGTCCACAACATACCCTTGACCAGGATTCTTCACCAACAACAACACCCCAACAGGAGCCAAAGAGACGAGGATGGCTAAGCAGTCGTGCCCACCACCTGTGTACCTAACGGTAGCGCAAGCGAACCAGGTGCCAGCGCATACCAGGCTGCGAGGGCCATGATTTGCTGATACTGGAATAGCACACGCTTTCAGGTCTTTTGACCGCCGGTGCGATAATGGCATGATGACCGGCATTTGGGACGTCAGGCTTCGCAATCTCATCACCCGTGTTGAATGTTGACGCGATTATTACTCGACCATCTGGTCCACTGCCACTGAAAATTGTAACCAGTGTTCGCCTGCGCGCATCTGTAGACCGGGGGCCAGTGAACCATGAGTCAGGCAGTTCGTGGCTCACGCGATTATCCCCTCTGGCCAGAATTTTCGCCTTCTCGAACTTTAATGTGTGTGGCTGGATCCATTTGAATGAGCAGCGACCTCATGCGAGCTGACGTCAGTTCTCCGCACTGATATCGGTTCTTTGGCTGTTTGAGTCCAGGGCAGTCTTCCAGTTTCTCCTGCGTAATTGCTTTGTCCGCAAATATCCTCAGTCAGCACGAAAAGAAAAAAAAGAGAAAACACGTTTTCAGTTACCGAAGTAATGCGAAGAAGTGTTCGACAGTTCGTGCCAATCGCAGATCCCTCTCAGGGGCCCCGGCGGAGTGCACCAGTCACAACGCGGCAGTTCTTGTCAGGGACCGGCTGACAGTCTCATGCGGGGGCGGACTGTCATACTTTCTCGGATCGGATAGAGAGTGCTCTGACATGAATGACCTTTCCCAATTCTATGTAACTAACTCACGTGCAAGTTACCAGTACATCTCATTCAGGTACTTGCGTGTGGCACACGCTAGACCGCCAGTCGACCGACAAGTTTGCATAGGGACTTGAGAACGCAAGTCATGTCCCCGAGACTTAACTCCATGCCCTGCATTGAATGATTTCTGAAATTATCCACTTGGTTATTCTCTGAATTTCATATACCAGAAGCCGCACAGAGAACGCTGGAGGCGCCACTGAGTAACCGAACCCATCGAAGCTGTGTCACGCAGCGGCAGAATATCGACGAAACACATGTCTGGCTTTTGGATAGTATCTATGTCGGGAGTATTGTATGGAATCTTTGCCACATATGTATATATGTATGAATTGGAGCGTAGGCATCCTAAAAATATAATTTAAAAGCAAATACGTTCTCTGGGAAAAGTAGAAAACTTTATTGAGTAAATTTTCGAAGTCGGTTCCCGTGTCGTCCTCAGACTTGAGTAAATGTGCAAAAAACAATTAACATTTCAAACGTACTGAGAAACCAAGATTTATTTGGATTTCAGCCGGTAAGCGGCCGCCGTGTGCGTCAGTCTGCATCGATTGGCTTTCGCCTCTTCTACTATTCTCTGAGAATTTTGTAAGTGACATCTAACTCGACGTGCCTATTGATGCATGGCTTCAAGAAACCCTCGGCCTTTTTTTAGATGGACAAACTGCGATGATGCGAGTTTCGTCCCATGCGAAGGTGTGCCCAGTATCAAGGGTGTGCATGGCCATCTGAGACAGGTGATCTCGCCTCTTAACTGCCAGTTGATGATCGTGGATGCGTGTAGAGGTTAATTTTCCCGCTTGGCCACAATATACGGCATCACAGGCATCGCACATATGTATATGTATATATGTATGGGTAGATTAGGTGCTACCGACAAAGTCAAGGGCGACTGCAGTGGCCCTATTTGATTTGTAAGCCGTCATCAGTCATCCTTACCGAACCCTAGGTTTTGAACGCTTGGGATTTGAACCGGGGATCTTTGGTTATAGACATGAAAGCTCTACGAACTGAGCTGCAGATCCATTGTCTTGTCGTTTCTGATCGAGAATATTAGCTATTTCGACTGGCTGACGACGGCTAATAAGTCGGAGACGGCCACTCCAGTCTCGCTTCTCTTTGTCAATAATCTTATTCTGTCTGTACTACTCGTCGCTGTGCGGCCGCGTGTGGGGATCATTGCGCCTCAAAGGAATGCCAACTATTGCCCTTTTTGCGCAATGGAAAGGCCGCGTCTATCGCCTCGGAAGTTTACTCTGCATCTACTAAGGTCTCCCATTTAGCGAAGGCAGCCGAAACGCTTTGCTGACTGAATTCCCCGTCAAAGCAAATCACATCGAGCTCTGTTTGTGTCTTCATCGCCTACAGGGTGGTCTAGAATTTCGCCTCTGTTTCGGCCCACTGTGAGGAAGAGAACCTTATTGTCTCTCGAAATCCCATTATAATAGCAACATCATAAATTAAAACTTATTTCACGTGAGGTTAAGCCAGTCTCTAAACGGACATAATTTCAGCCATTTTCTGCCCTCTAAGGCATGCGGTTTTTGCTGTATTCTGTATTTGCCGGATTTGAGGGTACTTGAGAAAGTAAGAATTTGTTTTTGTGATTAGTTCATTTTCGTGGTTCGAAACATTAATTCGCTGATTCTATTCCAGGTTTTAACTATGATTTACTAAGGCAAATACTGGGAGCGCTGTTCTGGCAGACGCTTAAAAAAATGCATGTCAACGCCGATGCTAACAGCTCTCTGAAGTTACTTAGTATTACGCCAAATTTGAAATACATGTTACAATGGTCAGATGTGGTTATGCACCCCCAGCTAAAGTAAACAAACCCCAACCACCTGTAATACGGGGCCGGTGATAATAGGGGTTTTTGCAGGTGGGGCCGGGAAAAGCACGTGCGACGAGGTCAGGTAGTTGTATGCCAAAGAAAACCTATTGGGAATGCGTGGTTGTACATTGAGTGGTTGAGAAATAGTTGCTCTGACGCCTAACCCCTAATCATAACCCTTAACCCTAACCGTCTAAGCCCAACCCCAACAGTATTGTGTCCATCATTTGGGGCTACATTACTAAATTTTATCGTTAAAATTTAGAAAGTTTCAAGTACGTATGGAAAGCTGAATCTTCGATGACTAAAGTGCTTTAATATCGGTCCGTTTTCACTAGGCGCTTTGCTTACAAGCTTATACTCAATCAATCGTCGACGACTTATCAGCTTTGCGCCATTACCGCATAGAGACCAGGATAGGATGGTCGCAATTGACTAAAAGAGAACTGTGTCAAACTCAACCCGGGGGAGGGTCTACCAATCAACTCACCTGACGGCGAGGTATACGAGAAGTCAGACAGAACGGACGCCGCACAAACTCAATCAATCCCGCCCTAGCACGAACGTGGGCACTAGTCAGGCGGTTGTTCAGAGTCTCAGGCAGACATTCCGTGTCCAAACTGTTCTTGTTATTACGAGGGTCAGAGTGAGCGCGTGCTCGGATCGCGCATACACGAACATAAGCCGACTGTGTGACGGGTTTTTGCCCCTAAGTTTCATGAGCATGAACCCATACTACTTGTGAGCAAGGAGAATGTAAAATTTATTGATTTTTGTGTGTCCTTTAATTGCGCCCACCTCTCAACTTAACAACCCATCCCTTTGTTATCTCAAGGTGTATCCGAATTTTCATCGCACATTTACTCGTGAAAGTTACCAAACAATGAGCTGTTTCTAGTCATGCTGATACTAGTAAATTCCTACTTTCTCACTGAACGCGTCAACTTTGCCTGAAGTATCTCCCTCTCATTAAGCAGTTTTTTCCATCCTAATTACTTCCGGGTCTGTTTCGTCCCTAAAAAAACTCCCTCTTCCCGATAATCAGCCCCTGTCTGCTGACCTACACATGTCCCCATGGCTGCAGAAAGGGATGCTACGGAAGACGATTTTGTGCGGGACTCAGTCTAGCCTATGCTGTCCTCTGATCCGCCGCGAGAGACTGCTCTCTGCCCATTCAGGCGACAGCGACGACACAAAGACAGACTATTGCTGAGGTTTCAAAAAACTGCGCAGTCACCACCACCACTAGCCCATGACTAGTCTTCTGCTTTATCGCACCGAAACTAATTACTTGACCAAGTGAAATTGAATTCTATCCTTTGTTTCCTCTGCGCTTTTTGCTGACGACGTCTGTTGACCTCGTCCACACGACCTTCAAAGAAGCGGCGTCCTCGCATTATCTGCTGATATCAGCAATACCCAAATCTGTTGATGCAGCCATTTTTTTACTGATAATGTCGTTCATTTCAAAAGAGGGTTATATACTCTGTTTTCTCTCACAGGCTGTATAGGCAGTCTGTGCAACTACCAACGTCGCCATGAGCAAACTGAGCCCAGGGATCAATCGAATGTGTGTTTAGTAAGCGTCTGTATGTATGTTTGTACCAGGAGTCTCCATCGCCACAGGGCGTTGCGTTTTAGATGCGCCCGACCAAAAGGAAGATCAGATTGCCTCAGAGCTAGCATTAGCTAAGATGCGAAGAGCCTGCGCCAGTCCGTAATCACTGCTGTACGAAAGTTCGGCCGTTGCCTCCGACGATGTCCACCGTGTGCTCCACAGTAGAGTGAGAGCAGGGACGGTGACTTGGGCGAAAATTTAGTTTACAGTGATAGTGCACTTGCACAGCAGCTACCGCACTCTCTCCTCCTCCCTCACTTGAACCCGGTGTCAAGATAGAGTCGAAATGACCGACGGCGGGGGAGGACGCAGGTGGATGGCACGGTCGAGCCCGCGCCTTGGCGTTCCACTCCACACCCCCTGGTCCACACAGCAAATAACCAGGTTTTTGACTCACAACAACAGTGGAGGGTAACAGAGCCCCAGTGCGCGCGACGTACGCCGGCAACGGAGGCCGCCATTGCACTCCGAAAAGTTAGCATTTGTTACGGTGAGCAACTCCAAGAGCGCGCAATATGGCCCCCCCTGTTGGTCCAATACATCTACCATGTGGCCCGTTTGGGGGACACCCTGCCGTACACTAAGGGGGTGGAATGGCATGCCTAGTCGTAGGGATTCATACCTCATCGACTACTTTCCCCAGTCCCATCACCAGATGGTTCATAGGTTCGGACAGCCGAATTCTGCGTAGGAGGGATTGAGGACGACTTTGGAATATCCTCCGCCAGAACACATACATAAACTTGAATCTGCATCGACGCGCTAAGCAGGCAGATTAGTAGTCACTGAGCTGGACGGGTGAATTCTCTCCGACGGGAAAATCGGTTAGGCAATTGTTGCCTGAAGCTCCTCTAAGTCGAACTATAGCAGTCTCGGTGTGGTGGATGTGCCCCTGTCGACAATATCATCACCCATGATGCACTCGATCTCCAGGCATGCTCGTAAACAATCACGTTGGAGGATGGTACTGGGGACCAATGCTTGGGAACGCAGGTGAACTGACACTCAGAACTTCAAGCATGCTGGCTAGTACGGTCCCCGCACAAATATCACGCCTCACTAAGCTGCTTAGAGCCGGATGCAGATGATCCGACTAGAAGGGTTATGCAAAAGTCTTTAGATCACTTACATGTACTTTGAATTCGATCACCTAGGTGTCGGCATTGCGCTTCACGTAAATAAAATTTGCGTTTACCTGGTTATGTAATGAAGTTGCGTTCATTACCTAAATGAACAGTTTATTTGATCTTATTAATGCGCAAGGACCATACGCAACTGAACAGGAGGTCAATAAATTTAAAGATGTCCTCAAATTCTGCGTGTATGGTCGCCTTTTCCTTGTTCGAGAATTAACCAATCAGAACATGAAAGACTGCCGTTGCGCCCTCCTCTTCTTACAACGTGAGCAGAAACTACTGTTAAGAAAGACGCCGACCCACCTGTCAAATCCACTGCCATCCAAAGTGAGTAATTTTGCTCAACTCTAAGTGTTTATGTGTAAAAATACATAAATTTGGCTACGATTACTTCCACCTCGCATTCGGTGCCAGAATCTCACTTGAATCCTGCCCATCTCCGACCCACCAAATCGATTATACTGCAGGAACTGTGTCAGGCGACACAAAACAACATTTCCCCTGAGTGATCTTGCAATGGTAAAGATGGCATACGAACACAAACAACAGTTACACGATCCTCATCCATCCTCACTATGACCTAACACTTTTAGTCATGACGCGTATACCCCTCCCAACCCGCCGTTGAATCCGCTGTATCTAGGCATCCAAACCTTCTCATATCACTAATGCACAGTGAGCTGGGCGCTCAACCCTACTTATGATTACGGCACTTTCAAATGGTCGGTCGAAGGCCTTCGTCCCTGATCTTTAATTGGGACTCCGGATCTCAGGTTGGACGGGTGAGAAAGTCGTTGCCTGAAGCTCTCAGTCACCCTCCGCGGTACCGATGTGTCTCTGTCGATAATGGGATTTGCCATGATGTACTCTATCTTCAAACATGCCCAAAACACTTAGGATGTTTGAACACACTGAGGACAATTGGTGTGGGTACGTAGGTAGACTGGCGCATCAAATGTGCCGACTAATAAGACCTCAACACAAATATCACGCATCACTGAGCTGCATGAATCTGCGTGTAGATGATCCGACTGTCGGCGTTGTGCAGTCGACTTTAGATCACTGACATGTACTTTTACTGTGACAACCTAGGTGGTGGCACTGCTGTTCTGGTGAGTGAACTCTGCATTTTCCGACATGCCTTCTCCATCCCCCCCACCCTAAACTTACATGTCACGAGGCGGCATCTCGTTTGAGCCCAGAAACAGCACGATACTCTGCAGAGAGCGCTCGCAAATGCCGTAGGGTCGAGCGAACTTTGCTTTGGAGAGGTGTACTCTGAAATGCTGACTGCCGTTCTACTGATTGCTTTATTTCTAATGTCTTCTATTCCGTTCAATACTCATTTGCAGTGGGCGAGAATGAGGCAAGTAAAACTCTCTGGCTGTTGACATCAGTGGAATTCAGCCCTTGTTGTAGGAGAAGACTGCGGATACTCGTAAAGAATGACTTACGAAGACCAAGGAAACTGGAGCGACCGTTTCTGCATTGGCGGCCATCTTCAACCAGCCACGCCCGACTCCAAAGTCAGGGGTACAGGTGACTGGAATTCCGGCTCAGTGAAAATACAGGAAGTGTTTAAAGTGTGCTAGTACTACTGAGCCTCCCAAAACCGAAGCACATTAAGTGGCGCAACACATGATACGTGATTACCGCGGGTGTGAGCAGGGACGGTGACCTGTGCGAAAATTTAGTTTATAATCATAGAAGACTTGCACAGCATCTACCGCACTCCCTCATCCTCCACCACCTAGGTCGGTGTCAAGATAGAGTCAAGAAGACCGGAGGTGGGGGAGGGCCCTCGCCTTGACGCTCCACTTCCCACCCCCTGGTCCACACAGCAAGTGACCAGGATTTTGAGCGACAAAAACAATGGGGGGTGACAGAGGTCGCAATGTGCGCGACCTCTGCCGGCAACTGGATCTGCCAGCGCACCACTCCCAAATGTTGGCGTTTGCTATGGGGACGTATTCCCGATCACGCCTGCCGGACCCCGATCTAGCCCCCGTGTTGGTCCAGCTCATCTAAGGCCAGATTGCCCTGACAGTTAGACCATCGGTTTCGATGATGTCCACCGTGTGCCCCACAGTTGCAGCAGCAGTGGGAGCAGGGACGGTGACTTACGCAGGAGTTTATAGTGCCAGTAGACTTGCGTAGCATCTACCTACACTCTCTCCTCCTCCCCCGCCTGGGTCCGGTGTCAAGACAGAGTCAAGAAGACCGGAGACAAGGGAGGCCGCAGGTGGATGGCTAGGACGGATCCTCACCTTGGCGTTCCACCACATCCCCTGGTCAACACAACAATAACCAGGATTTCAACCAACACCAGAGATTTGGAGGCTGGCACGACCGAAGCCGCACCTAGGCGTACCGCCAACGCCTGGCTCGGATCCCACACTGTAGTGGGAGTGCCATAAAGGCCACATTAAAAAGGAGCCATAGCAGCCTGACTCTCAGACCGCCTCCAGTCAAGGAGGAGGTCCAAGTTACCCCGTCAGTTGGCAACCTTCCAAGCCACGGCTTTTAGCGCACCGTGATAGCTTCAAGCGCGTCAGATTGTTTATAGTGAGGAGAAAGTGCGTTGAGTCGTCGACCTCACTCTCCCTTTCCACTCCCACACCCCAGCCGCTGTCCGAGCCGGTCAGCAGACTGGAGTGGGGAGTGGGCGCGGTGGCTGTCATGGTCGACTGACCATGACTGCGCGCGCCACGGCACGACCTGGCCCCCCATACACACAACATCAGGATTTCACACAACGGGGGTTGAACGGCGTGTCTTTCACTTGCGTGAGAAGGCCGTGGAAGGTGCAGCTTCAGCCCGTCCCCAGCCCACCAGTCCGCCACTCCACACAACACACGCACACAACGCGACGAACTGCGTGAACCGAGAGCGGGCGTCAATCAGCAACCTTCCTATCCACGACGCTTGACGTGTCGGGATAGTCTCGGACTTAAGTCACCCGTGCAGCCGAAGCCGCATGGGGACCGAGTCGAGATGCGGACATCCCACTTGCGTGGGAGGTGGCAGTTGGGTGCGTGTTGATGTGTGGTGTTGATGGTGGAGGAAGGGAGGGAGTGTGTGGATGTGTGGTGTAACCGACGGTTGTCTACCGCAGGTCATCGTGGATGCGCATGTGTCCCAATAGACCCATGCGATGCCTGAAAGTGCGAGGGCAGTGTGGGCAGTTGAGACGAGCGTAGTGGGTGTAGGTTGGTGCTTCAGGCACTGGTTCGCCAGTCTCTGTGCGATGGATTCGCAAGTGACCGACCAGGCCGATGCGTGAGGTGAACGTTCACGTTCACCAGATTGCCCTAGTGATTCATTCACGCCCCCCTCCCCAGTTTGTCATCTGTTGTTTAGTCTGTGCAAGAGTCTAGGCGGGAATTGGGGAGCGAGAGTCATTCGCACTAATCAGTGGAGAGAAAAATATCGATCAGCCTTGTAACGTCCCATAAACTGTACAGAGTTGTTAGAATGGAGTGACACTTTTTGAGCGCTGATCCAGGCTGTAGGTGGCGTGACCGCATGTCGGCCAAAATAACCGGTGTTTTGTCCTCACGTCCCCTTATCGTTGTTATCGTAGTTACCGTTCCGTATTTCCCAGCTTCACGTCGGCACTTTCCACGACCCCACCCCGCAGTTGCCGACAGCGCTACATTCCCCACCGGTTGTCTAGCCGATATGTTGGAATCATCTCCTCACCCAGACGGGTCATTCCTCCTGTTGTACAATTTAACACTTTTCTACGTGTTGCTTCCACTGTTATTAGTGTATATACATTGCGTGACCGATCTCATGAAGTGTTTGCCGAAATTCTGAAATGCGTTCTCGATTAGGAAGGATTACTTGGGTGGGGTTGTAATGCTGATTAGCATGCAGCATAATTCTATAGTATTTCGAACTCGTCAGGATTTCGGCTTTTGTATGGATTTCTTTTTAGCCTCCTGCAGAAACCACACTCGGAAAGAAATGACTACGTAAGTAGCATGCATTTTTCCCATTGATTTTCGATGGTCTTATAAATTGAAATATATTATATAGAAAACATACACAAAATATGTCTTCCTTTACTCGTATGGTGAAAAATCACATTGTCTTCATATTTTGCACTCGAAGAAGGTGTATATTTAAGTTTTAGAAAGTTTCTAATTATTAGTTTTTTTTTAAGACCGTGCGGTATCCATGCGTACAGGACCGCACATGTCCGTTTACCAATGCACCTCATGATATGTGCAACACAGTCCGGATTCATTGCGAAATTTTGTGAACTCTATACGGTACCCTCTTAAAAGCATAGAGGAATGTATGATTTCCCTTACGCGGAAAGCATGCACCTTGTAGACTGAAATCGCTAAACGCTAAATGAAATGGCAGATCAGACTCAAAATTATTCGGGAATTGGGAAACTTTTTTAAAACCTACATATACACTTTCTTCGGGTATAAAATATGAAAACAATGCGATTTTTCACCACACGAGTAGAAGTAGGCATATTTTTGGGCATGTGCATGTGCATGAATGTATAAGACCATCGAAAATCAGTGTGAAAATGCATGCTACTTAAGTAGTCATTTTTTTGCGGAGCGTGGTTTCTGCAGGAGGCCAAAAAGAAGTGCATTTATAGGCCGACATCCTGGCGAGTCCGAAATACTATAGGATAACGTTGCACGCTAATCAGCATTACATCCCCATCCAAGTAATCCTTCCTAATCGAAAACGCATTCCAGAATTTCGGCTAACATTTCATAAGATCGGTCACGCACAGTATATTTCGTGCCGTTTGGCTTTTCCTATTCCCAGCTTTAATGAGATCGCTGGCCCGTTTAACAATTCCCTTCAGATCAGTATTAGCCAAGAGTGATGTCTAGTGCTCCACGTTACCTGGGGCTGAGAGCCGGGAAAAGGGCATGCCATCAGACAGATTCCAGAAAATTTCGCAGAAAAAGTATACCAGACTGTTACAACCAGTCAGAGTAGGCACTGCCTATCGGCCCTAGGAAGCAATTCATCGCCGTTTGATGCAACCCAATGACACTCTGCCACCCACTGAAACTTCAGCAGTTGTCTGTCAAATAAGTTGTAACGATGGAGACTGCAACTACGTTGAGAAAACCGGACGGGAATCGCTGACCCGCCTACGTGAGCACAAACTGGCAACTCGGAGACTAGATCTGAACTCCCAGCTTGTGACTCAGCTCGGAGAAACTAGCCACAATTCTGACTTCTAAGGAGCAACTGTCTTAAACCGGGGCATTTCAAGGACAGGACTTCTCACCCTTAAGGCTTGGTACTCAGATGCCAACTCTATCAACAGGCATCTAGACCTTCCTACGGCCTGCAAAGCCCTACGGATTATATGGACCATGACCAGGACACGCCTGTCACACGGAGCTTAAAGATACCGAGCAAACACAGCCCGTCGACTAATTTACCGAAAAGGGGAGCACAGGTGTAACCAAACCCCATTGGGGTGACGACACACAACACATGAGGTCGCCTAAATTCACAGGCAACGACCAGAAGGCCAAGGCAGCGAAAAAATAAAAATATCGATCAGTCCAAGGCCAGCTAACTCGGCCGTTTGTTCAAAATTCCGGTCGATTTTTTGCACAAAACGCTTTGATAACGGAGAGCCGGCTTAACTCTCCGAAACGTCAGCCATTCGATTTCACTGAGCTGGTGAGCTCTGCATACTTCTCAGATTATCGACCCGGACCTCTTACATTTACTAACCTGGAACACCATGCCGTTGAAACCGCGAGCGTAGATAAGGCACGCGATCTACCATACTCGGCTTCATTAGTAGGGTAGTTCAACTGCTGGGATGGGCGCAGTGGTAGCTCGCTTGTAAGTTTCTTTACAGTGAAGCAGACTTCCGTAGCGCCTACCTCACTTCCAACTCCAGGATCCACTGTGTTTCAACGGCAAGACCAGCCAAAGACGGTTGGCGGTAGGCGTGGGTTCAGTAGGCAACGACACTAAACTGCCAGTCCCCCACTCAGCGCGCGCAACCATTAATAAGGGGCCGCAACTTCAATGCTATATGCCATCAAGCGGGCATTTTCAGTTTTCGATGAAGACTGCTTCTCCAAAGTCTTCGGCACGTTTATAAGGCCCCATCTCGAATATGCCATTCAGGCCTGGAGACCGTGGACGCAGCAGGATTACAATCTGCTCGAAAGGGTGC